AGGTGTTGTAATCCCCATGTCCCTGTTTTTACTTTGGCAGTTAGTTACTTTAGGTAAAGGCAACATATGTATGTATGTATGTATGTATATAGTACATTCTAGATTTATGTGTGAATAAAATATTTTGTGAGTATTCTTTTAGGTTAACACCATCTGTTAGGGCTTCTGTATGTATGATCTATTTTTAACTCTAGTGACAGAAAAATTTTCTCTCCGTTTTCATGATCTCTAGACTTTGTATAATCAGTCTAATATAGGAGCATTATCCCAGTCCTATTCCTTGCTGCTTTAAAGCCTTCAGAGTTCTTCAAAACAACATTTTGTTCCTTTGATCATGATCTCTTTAAATGCAATTTTTTCTCAGGTTTTAGGGAAGATAATGCTTCTAATCGATCTGTTAAAGCTATTATTGCTGGAGTTATGTCTTGATATATATCTGATACATAAATTTTGGCCTCTCCTTTCTTCGTTTGAAGAGTCCCTACCTTAAATCAGGGTTTTCAAAGAGGAGCCAAAAGCAGGAAGACAACTACAATCATTTTTCATTTTGAAGATCATTGTAAAATGTCAAACTGCGCTTTTGGTAAAATGCATTCAATTGTAGAGTGAAAATAGTTGAGATTATGTGCTGTTTAGATCTGATAAACAAGCCTTCCTTACTTTCTGTGTATTGGATCTGTTTATTTGTCACAGAGGGGAAAGAAATGTTGAAAAGTTATAAAGGAGTCATGAATTGATTAAGGGCTTCTGAAAGGAAGATAAGTTTTGGGCAAGGTTTATAAAGTAGTAAATGTGGATTGATAGGGAAAAAGGAAGGTACAGACTTCTGAAGAACCTTAGACTGTTCAGTAATCTTTATGAAATTACTTAGATTGCTTTAGTAGCCTTTTGTTTCTAAATGTTAAATCATGAAAGAAAACTAAGAATGGTTGGTTGCCTGCAATTTAGAGGTTTAGACAAATTTGGGGATTAAGAGATATTGCCTGTCTAAATTCTTTCATTGTTAGAGTGTAATACTTAGTGTCATATACTGTGAATGGTACTGAGCTCGTGTCTCTTGGTATCAGGAGATAGAAGATGTACAAAACGGGTAAGTTTGAAAGTGTGGGAGCATGAAATATAATTAAATTAAAATTTTACATCTTATTTTTTCATAATTGAAAATGGTTGTCTCAGTGTAGACATAGTGATTTAGCTACTTGGCTGATTTCTTTATCCAAGTATTTTCAGAAATGTAGGTTTGTAGTACCACCTAAAATCTAAGCATAAGATTTTGTGAGCAAAAATTCCTAGAAAATATATTCTGGTGAATGCACAGGAAGTGTAGGGCAATCATAGCACAGTTCTTTTTATAATTAAGAAAGGGACTTTGTGCTAAATTCTCAGAATGTCAGGTTCTATTCAAAAATTATGGAAAAAAATAAAAAGAGCTTATATATTTTTACAAAAATATTAAAGATTTTTTATTTCATATAGTACTTCAAATTTATTTTTACTTACTTAACAAGTACTTATTCGTAGTTTTAAGGAGTTCTGGTGGTGCAGTAGTTAAAGCATTCGACTGCTAACCCAAAGGTTGGCAGTTTGAACCCACCAGACGCTCCACAGGAGAAAGATAAGGCAGTCTACTTCAGTAGATTTAACAGCTTGGAAACTCTATGTTGTTGTTATGTGCCTTCGAGTCAGACCGACTCACAGCGACTCCTCCTTGGGTTTCTGAGGGGTATCACTACGGAAGTAGATTGCCCAACCTTCCTTCCAAGGAGTGTCTGGTGGGTTTGAACCGCCAGCATTCTAGTTAGCATTCAAATGCCTTAGGCACTACACTACCAGAGCTCCCTTGGAGACAGTTTTATTCTATCCTGTAGGGTCTTGAATTGGAATCAAGTCGATGGCAGTGGGTTTGGGGTGAGTTTATTTGTAGTTTTATTGTATACTGGTTGGTGTTTTGCCTAAGACATTTGATTGGTAACTAGTATTTTGCCTCAGGCATTTGACTGCTAACTAGAAAGTTGGCAGTTCAAACCCATGAGCCACTCCATGGAAGGAAAATGGGGAAAATCTACTTATGTAAACATTTACTGCCTCGGAACCCCAAAGGGGATCGCTGTGAGTCAGAGTCAACTTGATGGCAGTGAGTTTGGTTTTGGCTATTATTTTAAGTGCTTTACAAATATTAACTTATTAAATCCTTGTGAAAGCCCAAAATGTCTTCATGTTTTCATAAGAAGATAGTTTAGAAGCTTTTGCTAAGTGCTCATTTTTTTCCCAGTTAATTGTTTACATAACAAAGATGAGCAATGCCATTAACTGCAATTACTTTGTTTAACATGAAGCTCTTTAACTTCAGGTTTTGTAGTGAAGATTTTGCACTACTCAGTGGTACACTAAAGTAATAGGTTTCACAAAGTATTTAGGTAATTTGGTAAATGACACTTTATAGGCAGATATTCTGTATTAAATATGTTTGTGATACAGGGAATAGAATAGACACCTAGACAGGAATAAAAGTAAGGTTCTTTCATGTTACAAGTATTTATTTGGTCATATTTACTTTTGTACAAAGTAATTACTTTGGAATTTTGGATAGCATATAGATTTGAAAATGCATTTGGAGTCATGATTATCCTTAAGCAGCATAATGTATTCTCTATCCTTTTTATGAGATTTTGTTCTTATGCCTCCTACAGATTGGGGGCAGGTGAAATCAAATGCCTTTGTATTTGTAGGGAAAGTGCTTTCACTTTTTCCAAAGTATTTTCTGTCTTTCTTATGAGTTTGTTTTTCTCTTGGGTTCTTCTGCTTTAGGGACTCTTTCACTTAACTTCAGTTTTAGGTACTGAAATTGTGGGAAATTTTGTTTTTGTCATTGCTTTTGCCTTTGCCTTGTGATTCTCACAATTACAGGAAAAAGTGTACCAGGTAATCTCTCTGGTACATGTATTGCATCTTTTCACCTTCTAGGATTTGAAGATAGACAGTTTTCTGAAAGGTAAACCTGAAACTTTGTTCTAATAAATATCTTACTGAGTCTACCATCCTGTTGTATCTTGTCTTCCACACCCTGCCCAGTAAACTGAATTGTGTCAAACTCATCTAAAGGCTAATCTAGCAGAAAGTAAAGTTTACCTTTCATTTTACCTTGTTGGTAGACTCACTGGATGGTTTGTGATTACCTGACATAAAATGAACACTTCTTGCAGAATAATGTGCTGTCTGCACACATCTTTATTGTTTGGAAGATGCAGGGGAAGTCATTAATATCTATTGTGTCTCACAGATGAATTGAACTTGATACATGCATGTGTATAGTGTTACCTCAGTAGACTCTCAGGAAATACTTGTTGATTAATCCAAGGGGACTTGGATTCCATTTCCTCCTCTGCTGCTAAATATACTGTTTTCCTACTCTCCTCTCCACACCCTTTTAGAACTCAATTGGTTTGGATTTCATTAGGACAAGTTAGAGGGTCAAGAAGTAGCAGTGAGTCAAAATGTCAAGTGTTTTAAGAGGAAATCAGCTGGCAGTGGCATGGTGTGCCACCCTGAAAGTGAGACAACAGAAGACACCTGCAGCCTTGAGATCAAGTGGCTAGATTGGATGAAGAGAGCATAGTTTAATCCAGGGGTCCAGCCAGGCACCCTTTGCAGCGTTAGTTGATCCTGTCAGCCTGGTAAATTGCCTGTGGGCTAGAGCTGCTGTTGTTTTGTTTTCTGTTATGTGTAGCCCAGATTTCATTTGGCCCTAGGCCAATGAGGGAGTGGTTAATTTTATGGATACTTTAGAACCATTTTGAGAGTAATGTCTCCTAAATTAGCATTTTTGCTGCTATTAAATATAGAACATTGAATTTTGACACACACCCTCTCTACATCCCACCTACTCTGTCATTTATTTTCCACCCACTCTTACCCAACACTCTTACCTTTTCATCAAGCTTCAGTTTTCTTTTTATCTAATTCCCATCTATCAAACTATTATCCATGACTCTGTATCTAGAGTTCTACTGAGCCATAGATGAGAATGATGGTATGTCAGTATGACTCATAGATGGATGAGCATATGCCAAGTAAGTATCTGTTAAGATTGTTCTAGTACTGCCACTATGTAACATTCACTAAAGAGAGATATTGCCACTTAAACAAAAAAGTGGTAGGCTCTTGCCCTCTTTTTTCTTCTCTTGGATTGAGACTTATGTATTGTAGATTTTATGCGCCTTGTGGTTGAGAGTTTATCTCTTGGCCAAAGATCAAAGATCATCTGATCAATCCTAGTTTCTTCACCCCTTTCTAGATTAGGTCCTGTTTGAGTTTCAGAGAATGGCATTAACAGTCCTTTGACTAAAGTTCAGAGAAAGGAATGTTAGCAGAAGCATTGCTATAATCAGATTTCAGTGAATTCAGTGAATTTTCGTGAATTCAGTGGTTTGACTGTTACTTCTTCCTGACACACTGCAAGCAGTCTTTTACTTCTTTGGGCTTTCTCAGTTCTTGCTTCCTGGCTTCATATGCCCAAGAATCCTGTAAAGCTACCATTGCCATTTGTTTTTCCCTGTATCTTGCCTCTCTTTTAGGAATCCCTGGAATATTTTTAAGGAACCCTGGTGGTACAGTTATTAAGCACTCCTTTGTCAACTGAAAATCAGAATCAATAGCAGTGGGGTTGGTTTTGGGTTTGACTATTTTTATATCCTGCCATTATAGTCACTTTTTACTGTTTTGTCTAGGTAATTTTAAGAATCGTCATTTGGAGAAAGTGTACTGAGTTGAAAAGAGCTACTGACTTGTCTTTGGAAGTTTTGGGTAGTCATCTAATGTCTCTCTTTGCTTTTGTAGTTCTGAAATAGGTTAGGGGAATTTCAGAAGCCAGGAATTAGCTAGTAGGCAAACTTGTAGTTATAATTTTGATGAAAGAATCAGAGAGAGGGATGACCAGAAACCTTTTGATGGAGCTTTTGTAAATTTTAGTTTTGATGTCAGTCTTTTATTTTTCTTTTCAGTTGCTTTAGGTCGTAACCAGCCTTTGAAAAAGGAGAAACCAAAATGGAAAAGTGATTATCCTATGACAGATGGACAACTGCGCAGCAAGAGGGATGAATTTTGGGATACTGCACCAGCTTTTGAAGGCCGCAAAGAGATTTGGGATGCCTTGAAGGCTGCAGCACATGCTTTTGAGAGCAATGATCATGAACTGGCACAAGCAATTATTGACGGTGCAAACATAACATTACCACATGGTAGGTTTGGTGTTCCTCGAGGTCAAAGGGAACACAATCAGATGGTTTCTAATAGCAGTTAGAAACCAAATGGGAAGTGTTTGGCTTTCTTTCTATGCATTATTCTAGTACCTTTTTTTAAAAAAAAAAAAAAAAAAAGCAAGAAATAGCACTCTATGCTGCTTTGTATATCTTTCAACTTGAGGCACGTTTTACTTTGTGGATTTATAGTTTCACCAGCCACTCCTCAGAAGGAAGATTGGGCAGTCTACTTTTGTAAAGATACCTACTGCCTTAGAAACCCAAGGAGGGGTCGCCATGAGTTGGATTTGACTTGACAGCAGTGAGTTTGTTTGGTTTGGTTTTAGGTTGTTTTACTATTTATTTATCTCGAGAAAGAGAACACTTGATAGCCTATATTTTCTACTCTCCATGTAACCTAGTTCTCTAGGAAGGCCTCTTTTATTCCCCAGCCCATCAGTTGGAGCCTCTGCTTCACTGATTGCCTGCACACATTAGAGGGTAGTCTCAGTTTAGATCTCAGAGGTGTAGAGACTCAGTAGATACTCCTTTATACCTTTTCATCAGTGATACTTTTAGTGTAATGAGTGAACCTAAACTTAGAAGTGAGTCTCACATGTTCTTAAGGATAGTGTTCTATGCTACTACCCCTGGCTATTATGAGAAATCTCTCTCTTGACCACCGAAAGCTTTGGATATTTCTAGGGATGCTTGTACACTGGACTTGTGTGCATAACTCTTTTTGGTCTCTCTGATTAAAAGCACATACTGAAAATTTTCATGCTATAATTGAGATTTAGGTATAAATTTTGTATTTATATTTTTTCTTTT